GTTATCTCTCACTCTCTGCTCTTTGAATTGAGAAAGCTCCTCGGATGAGGAGCGAAACGTCTTCTGTTACAAATAAAGTCCAGTTGTTTTTGTATTAAACGCTTTTTGAATTGCTCCAGCTTGCACAGCGTCAGACGAAGAGCTTCAGGCTTGCCTCAGCTCCAACACCTTAGCTTTCCTGGGTGACATTCTGGACCAGCTGTTGATATTAATGGGTTCTTCAGTGATCCTCTGGTTCTACCATCCTCCCACAGTCCTGATCAGAAACACTCCACCTGCATGGCATCATCTCCAGGATAGGCCTATCCCCAGTCTAGCAGTACCAAAGTAAGGCAGCATCCCTTTTCTTACAGGTGATGAGAACACAGTAAAGTGTTAAAGTTTGAGCTGATGCAAAGGTGGTAAAACAATCTTTATTTCCCATCTGATCATTCCTGTTTAGTCTGACACAATAGTTAACCTCATATAGAGTTTTTTTTTTTTTTGTAATAAGATTTCAAAGTAAAATGTGTCTCATTATAGATAAATTAATAAGACTGACAACCCTCTGTAATTAGATTTTGTCCTCATGTGTTGAGATTTAATAAACCATAAGGGTGAGTAAACTGAGAAATCTAAATATTGTTGATCAATATATTTGATCTGGTGCCTTGTCCTGAGAGTTAACACATGAAGTAAAGAGAGAGGTACAAGCATCAGCTGTCGTCCTTCCTCATCTCAGCTTCTACAAGAGTTTTAAATGTGTGATTATAAAAATTCAGAAGACTTTATTTCAGACTGGCTGGTGTGAGACTATTTAGTCAAATCATAAAACAGTTGTAAATATCTTTGAAATTAAAAACAACAAATCATAATATGTTTTTTGATGTTAAACAGTTTATCAGCTCAAAACAGTTAAAGTGAGTCTGTATCATTTTATAAATTACTTTACCACAAGTTTTGAAGTTGAGCTTAGAGTCCAGGATTAGTCCTGAACATTTCATTGTTACCTGAACAATAACATTCAAGGTTTTCTAATGCAGGAAAGACTTTCTGAGAAAGTAGTTTCTACAAAAAAAAAAAAAAAAAAAA